GAGCAGCTCCCGGGTGATGAGGCGACAGCTCGTTAGGATCGGAGAATCCGCGCTCTCCCGCCCGGGCGTGCCCGCGCCACCCTTCCTCCCCCGGGTTGCTCTCAGCTTCTGGATCGTCGCCTCCTATGCTCGCGCGGCCGCGGCAGGTTGGCTGCGGCCGGTTGCCCTGCCTCCTCTGCCCCCTAGTCGGTGCTCTGCGGGACCCCTCGAGTCAGGTTTCCACGACCCCGAGCCTCCTCGGACTCCGCTTGCTTCTTCCTCTTCTCCTCCTCTGGCTCCTCCTCGTCCCTGTCCTCGCAGCCGGAGCCTCTTCGGCGCGCGCCCCGCGCTCCCCGCAGCCGCCAGCAGTGGCAGCTGCAGCAACTGGAGCGGGCACGGGCTCAAGCCGCCCGAAGCGGGAGGGGAGGAGGCTTACCGGGCTGACTCGCCACGGCTTGGGGCTTAGTAGGGGCTGCAGGCTATTTGGAGGTGGCCAGGAACGCGCCCCCCCATACACACACACACACACCTTCTAGGACGCAGAGTATAGAGCCCCCAGCTCAGGTGCAGGACTTAGTACGTGTTGCGCCCCCACCTAGGTTCAGTGGCGTATCCCAAGGGGAAAACCACCAGGTGCCCCCTGCTAGGCCGGTTTTCCCAAAGGAGCTCCTAATGGGGAGGGGAGGAGTGGCCGGCTGCCAACTTGATTCCACAGGCTTATTGTCCCAAGATCCTCAGACTTGGAGACTGAGGAAGACCCTAGCCAAGATAGGTATACCGTCTGATTTACAGCTTGCTAGCTCTTCAGTTTCCTAGGTGCCCCAGTGTGCATGGCTGATAGACAGGGGCATCTGAAAGTCTGTTGGTGGTCTGTAACCTCTGACAGCAGCAGGTGGGTTTTTGTTGGGTTTTGTTTTGTTTTTCTCCCACCACCCCCCCCCCCCCCCCGTGGCCAGCAGCGAAACAGGGGGTGGCCGAGAGAACTGACAAGTTTAACAGCAATCTGGCTGTTGGTGTGGCACACGACTGGACGGTGGGGTTCCTCAAAGGGTCTCTTCCCTACTCTCTAGGCTCCCGTGGAAAAGGCAGCTGGATGACGGGTACTCTCTATTCAGCCTTGCCTCTCTACACTTCTGCTTTTCCTTTTTCTACCCCGTAAGGGGAAGGAATCCAGGTCCCGGAGTCCCCCTTTAGATGCGTACAGAAACTTCCTCCCTCTAGCTGTTTCTTCTCCAGGCTACCAGCTGGACCACAACTTTTTCCTGTGCTAATTAAAACGAAGATGATCACTCTCCCCTCATTGCCCATAGTGATTTCCCCAAAGTTTCCAGCTCATTAGTTAGAGCCTAATTGGAATTCTCAGGTTCCTTTCAACTCTTCCTATGGTTAATTGGCCCAAGTGAGCCTCCTTACCTGAACAAGCTGTCACTGCCTAAGTCAGTGGTCAGCCACAACACCCTGGCCTTAGGATGCAGGAGTGGAGCCAGCAGAGGTCAAACCTGGCAGACACTGAAGATCTTTGAGTCTGGAACTGGTTGGTACATTCCTTGGGCTTAGTGTACGTATAACTTAGAAAAGACATAAGGCCTAAGTCATGGGGGGTGGGCAGAACGGAGTTAGATAAGAGTTCTTGAGTGCGTTACCCTGAACCTGGTAACCACTCACCCCTGAAAGAACGGTATATAAAGGAGGGTGACAAAAATGACTAGCTGGTAAAGCTGCTCGCCTCCAAACCTGGCCACGTGAGCTCTTTCCCTCAAACTCACAAGGGAATAAACTGACTCCCATTAGTTGCTCTCTGAGTCCCATGTGTGTGCTATGATGCACACGTGTGTTCGCATGTATGTGAGCACACACATGGGTAAATAATTTGTGTTTTAAAGAAGAGAACTACCGATGGCAATTTTCAGAAAGAGAAATTGCCTCGGTCTCCCCTTCTATCACCCGGTGGTGCCTCCAGCGTCGTACTTTGAGCTCAGAAGCTACCGCGCAATTCCATGCATGCGACGGCCCTGGGTCTTTTCCAGCATAGGACTGGGATAGCGGGACTTAAAAGGGCTGCCAAGCGGTGCAAGTGACAGCAGCATTGAGGCTCCTAATAAAGCCTTCTCAGTGGCTGCCTTTGTGTCTTAACACATGCCAAGAGTTGGGGACTTTCCTTAAGCCCAAGACTTAATATTGAAAAATAAGACACCTATAACATAACTCAGCAAGGGACAGATCGTGTCCTGCCCTCTCGTGAGGCGGGAAGCCTTCAGAATGTATTCCCACAGTAGCAAAAAGTGAAACTTTGCAACCAATGGTCCCCTCTAGATTCTTCCCAGTCAGTACCTACAACCTAAATCCCCCTGAGACACCAGTATCAAGGCTACTTACAGGAAGTTAGTGGCCGCTGTGCCTTCTGTCCTCCCACGGGTGAAGCCCCCACCTGTGTTCCTGCTTCAGCAGCACATCAATGTCTCAGCAGCCTTCTAGAGGGGACTAGAAGCAGTCTAGACAAAACACCCCCTCACCCCAACTTCTTTCTGCTCTCTCACCTAACTTTGCTGACTAAACCTCCAGTGTTGACCAAAACCTTAACTTGCTCAGATTTCATGAGAGACCTGCACTGTCAAGTTCAATATCCTCCCATTCCTGTAACCACCTGTCCCTCACCTTCTCCCCAATGGCCTGGCTTTAGGCACAGAATGAAAGTATTACCACTCACCGGGAGTAGATGTCATCAAGCCTTTGCCCAACTCTCACCAGCTACCATCACCATCCTGTCACCTAGCTTTTCCCATTTTGGAAGAGGCTCTTCCTAGGTAAGGAGCAACATCACATTCCAAAGGAACCTTGGATATCATGCACTTACCCTATTTGTCTCTAAAATTGGAACAAAAGCAGAAACCAGAGGCAGGAGGGAGAGCTTGGTGAGTGAAGTGCTTGCTGCACAAGTCTGAGGACCTGAGTTCAGATCTCTAGCACCCACATAAAAGCCAGACACGGTGGTATACACCTGTAATCCCAGTTCTGGGAGGCAGAGAGAGTTAAAGATCCCAGGGGTTGCTGGAGAGGTAACAGCACCAAAAAAGAGGGGGAGGGGGTTGAGCTCCAAATTCAGTGAATAGGACCCTGTCTCAAAAGTAAGGTGGAAGGTGACTGAGGAAAGCGTCTGACTTTAACCTCTGGCCTCCCAGCACTTCTGCATTGAGTGAGGACAACACACACACACACACACACACACACACACACACACACACCCCACTCTGCCTACCTCAAAGGATTATCTGGAAGAATTAGTAAGGAAATACACAGACTTTGATTATTTTGTCTATGACACACACAACTCCCATATCTTACGGCCTCCTCGCTTTGGCCAACAGTGTACTCTGTGAGAAGAGGCAGGAGGAGGCCCCCTGCCTCCATTTTGCTGTTCTGCACACTCACGCAGGCCCTCAGGAAAAGGGCAGAGCAGGACCATGCAGCTGCAGCGATCCCTGAGCTCTGCGGACGTCTTCATACTGTCACCCAGAGAGCCTCAGTGACAGCCGGGCTCCAGAGGGGAAGAACCCATCCAGCCTGCATAGGATCTGTCACCACACCCACACTCCCTCAATAACCTGGGAAATGGGAAGCTATCTACAAATATCTCCAGAGCATTTCTGCCTACTGTGGGTGTGTCTATGGGCTGGGAATTGAGAATCATTGTACAAGAACTAAAAGCCAATATGAAAGTAGAAACTTCCAACAGGGGCCATTTATTTGTCTGCAGATATATTTAAAAGCTTCCCGGACTCTAGCAAATGCATGTGTCTATGTGCCTTGCACTTTCACAGCAAGCCAGCGATTTCAAATCTGTTAAGTAGTCGAAGCTGGGCATTCCCAGTGAACTTAAAGGACACACACGAAACTAAGTATAAACACACAAACTAAAATGCAGAATGATTAAAGTCCAAAGAGAGCGTGAAAGGATGTTTGCAAAGATGTTGGCAGGGTATCACAGTTAAGATCCACTGGACTTTCTTTTCTCCAGCCTAGATCCAGTCCTGATACTGTGCTTTAAATAAATAAATAAATAATAAATAAACACAATTCTTTGTGAATCTCTGTGACTCGGTGATGCCTCCTTAAGTGACGTGGCGCCCTCTGGTGACGTTGTCTGGTAGACCACAATCTGGTGACTATTCTAAAGGGGGCTGATTCATAAGTACATTTTAGACATGAAAATTCCAAGGAACATTCCACAGTAGAACAAACAATGTAGCCACAGGAACCGGGATTGTAGATTTGGATTATGGAAGTCAGAGGATGCAAGCTGACTACAGTTGATGTTTGGCACTTGAGAGTGGGTGCCAAGGGTTCTGACCACAGATGCACGCAAGCACAAGGTAATGCATACGCTAATCAGCTTGAGTTAGCCAGCTCACTCCACAGTGAACATGTATTTCAATGAATACACTGAGCCATATGTGTGTGCGTGAGTGCTTTGTGTATATGCAGTTTTTGCCCGTTTAAAAAATGTAAAGCTTAGAGATGGGTCAGCAGTTAAGAGCATCTGTTACTCTTGAGAGACCCTGCTTTGCTTCCCATCACCCACATAATGGTTCACAACCATCCCTACTTCAGTTCTGG